CTCTCTCTCTCTCTCTCTCTCTCTCTCTCTCTCTCTCTCTCTCTCTCTCTCTCTGAAATATGTTATTAAAAAATATATTCTTAAAATATATTAAAAAACATGTTTTTCGAATTATTCGGTATAGTCTGTATTTATTATGTTCTTTAAAACAAAAAAGACAGACTTTAGTTTATTTATGTATCATTAGAAACATAGTAAAAAATAAAAAAAAATTAATATAAAAATAAAAATACTATAGAATATTTCTTTCTTTGTAATATAGAAATAGATCGACATTCCGCAGTAATTCATTATCCTCTCAGTTCATAAGTGCTATTTATATTCTAGAAACTGAAATTTGTTATATTTTTAGCAAAATTTACTATGTTTTCTAGTAAGATGGATTTTACTGACAGTCTAGTCCTGTACTACAAGAAATGTAATAAAGTTGAAAAGAGTTAATATAAAAATTGAAATTATTACAGAATGTAATCAAGGAACAGATCGACATTCTGCAGTAAATTTGTATACGCCATTTACATTTTAAGAATTGAAATGTAAAGATTTGTTATATTCTCAGTGAAATTGACTATGTTTTTTAGCAAAGTAGATTTTAGAGAGAAATCTCCATCTCTGAATTATTATAGAAACATACAGTAAAATTGAAAAAAAATTTATTTGGAATTTATATGAAGAACTATAATATTCTGTCCTTGCAATGTTCTCGTTGTGCGTCCCTCACGCGTTCTATTTAAACCACGAGAATTCTAAAATTGCATCGGTGTGTGAATTCTTGGATTGATTTGGAATTCAATTAGCTCAATCGATATAAATGGAATCAATTTCTAACGGATTTTAATAAAATTTTAATCTAGTTTATTAATAACCGCACACGATGTTAACGATTGACATGCTGTAATGAACAAAAACCTCTTTCAACATTTCCGATAAAAAAAGAGATATTGTCGGGTTCATATCGAGCCCGTGGTCACGCTGCGACCAAAAAAATAAAAAGCTACGCGTACTAATTTCGAGCCAAACTGTACTAAATTATCGTTTTATTTCGCACGACATGTTTATCGCGTTGAGTTTCGCCAATTGATTAACGACTCTCGCATCGAAATTTTCATCCAGACTAACGACGAGTGGGTGGACGAAAGGGGTGAGAGGGATGAGAGGGGAGGGAGCCGTACTTCGGAGCGAGTCGCTTAGGGGCGCTACACCCTCGCCACAACATGGCCGTCGTAGCCTGACACCCCGTGTGAGTCTCGACGCACCCCGTGTTTCGCGTGTCGCCAAGGGGATTGTGGCCGACTGTGCAAGCAAGAAAATCACGTGAGTACGAGACGGTGGACAACTCTGCGACCATTTTGCGAGCTCATTCACGGACGACCACGAGAATTCGCGAAGGAGGAGGCGCTGCTGCGAAAAAATTCGTCAAGAAGGAACGAGCGTTATCCAACAAGGTACGACTCACTTGCGTGCGCGTAGCATGACGTGTATATGTGTGTATACGTGTTGATATGTGTGTATGCGGGCGTGCGTACGTATGTGTGTGTGTGTGTGTGAGTGAGTATGCGCGCGTCCATGTGTATCCGTGTGTACGGCTGCGTCGGTGGTCCGAGACGCGTGTCTGCATCGGCGATCAATAAAACGATGGCGGAGGGTGGAATGTTTTGACGTGGTGTGCGTGCATTCTTGTCCACTAAAGAACCATTCCCATTTCTCACTACCTCCTGTATATTACCGTCCAACGTGTATTTGCACCCTGTGTTCTATCACCCTCCCTCCCCTCCTCCCATCTTTCCACCGTGCTGTGCGTGTCTATATATATATATATTAATATATATATATATATATATATACATATAGATATGTGTGTGTGTGTGTGTGTGCGCGCCTTCAGTCTCCTGCGCGCTGTCCCTTTCCGGAAACGGTCATCCTGCGTGTATCCGTTTCGCCGTTGATATTCCACAAGATGTCGCGTCGCAGGGATGATACAACGTCGTCTACAAGGACGTATCGCTGCAGAAGCGACGGGATCAACGGCGATATCCGCGACAAATGCCTCGGAAAAGTCGCGGCTGTTTCGTCGTCTTAGGCTCGTATCGATAATTGTCACTTCAAACTCGCGCCACATGTGAGATACTCAAATTTGAATTTAGAGCTAGATTCGAGTTTCTTACGAGCCCGGGCTCGTAAATGGAGTCATGTATGTACAATATATATGTTACTAGTCACTATATCTGTAAACGCGGTTCAGCTGAAGAACGTCTAACTCTATATTCAAATATGAATATTGCATCTGACACAAGTTTCAAGCAACGACTATTAATACGGTACTGAAACATGTCTCATGTAAGATATCAAATTTTTATTCAGGTTCAAGTTTTCCAATTTAATTATAATATATATGATATTTATATTTATCACGGAGAAAACATTAATGCCATATCTATTTCATTTGAAATCAGGTAAATGTTCTCTTTAACTATAGAATATGTGGATATAGCAACCATAGTAGTTTTCTCCGTATATAATCGTGATTTGACTGGAAATTTCTCTCATCTAACTCTGAAATCTGAATAGAAATCTAAGGTCCGTATTAATAGTCGTTACTTGAAGCTTTTAATTTAGGATTAAATCTAAGTTTCTCAGCTGAATTGCGATTGCAAATGTAATGTCAGCTGAATCGCGATTGCAAATGTAATGTATAATATAATTTAAATAAAAGACTTTTTCGCCTAACTCTAAATTCAGATATTTCAGATTTGAGTATTTCACGTAAGACAAGTTTCAAGTAACGACTATTAATACGAACCTGAGTGTCTCACTTGAGAAGGATTTCAAGTAATAACTATTAATACGGCTTTCAGGCTCGTATTAATAGTTGTCACCTGAAACTCGTCTCATCTGAGGTACCGAGATTTTTATTCAAGTTCAAGATTTTCAGTTTAATTATGATATACCAGGTGTAGAAGTATGAAACCGGAATTCCCCTATAAATGGTGCCAGCGTTCAGTTTAGTGACCGTAAGACCGCTACTGCCGCGCTATTATATTCTCCTAACAGCTGACGAATATTGTCAACAAACATAACCCCAACTTTCATTCTCTAGTATATTTTTGTATAACCTTAAACATGTCACGTTTCGAGCCTACTAACTATGATTTGCGGACAGCATTGATTTTCTGTTATCATTTAAAGAAAACTGCTGCAGAATCACATCGAATGCTTGTCGAAGCTTACGGTGAATATGCTCTTGGTAAATCTCAGTGTTTCGAGTGGTTTAAAAAATTCAAAAGTGGTGATTTTGACGTGAGGAACGAAGAACTATGAACTATGAACTATGAACTATGAACTGCTGAAACCTGGTCAAACCGTCAATACTAATCGCTACCAACAACAAATGATCGATTTAAATCGAACATTGACTAAAAAACGACCAGAATATGCAAAAAGGCAACACAATGTCATTTTGCTCCATGATAATGCCCCATCACATACAGCAAAACGGGTCAAGGAAACGATCGAGTCGTTCAGTTGGGAATTACTACCGCATGCGGCTTATTCTCCAGACTTGGCTCCGTCCGATTATCACCTGTTCGCATCGCTAGGACACGCTCTCGCTAACCAACGCTTCGATTCGTATGAAAATGTGGAAAAATGGCTAGATAACTGGTTCGCTTCAAAAGATGAAAAGTTTTTTTGGCACGGCATTCATAAACTGCCAGAGAGGTGGGAAAAATGTGTTCAAAACAGTGGAAATTATTTTGAATAAAGTATTATTTATCACTTTCGAACAACAGACGTCTTATTTGTATAAAAAAATTCCGGTTTCATACTTCTACACCTGGTATGTGACATTTATATCTATAATCACGCAATTCAAGTAAAAATCTTTTATCTAACTCTGAATGGAAATTTGAGTGTCTCACTTGAGAAGGGTTTCAATTAATAATTATTAATACGGACCTTATTTCGTGCTATGTAAGAAAGCGAGTCGAGAACAAATCACACGAGCGTCGTTACTGCAATCGTTAAAAGCACGCAGGTGCAACAACAAACACCTTCCGTCCAAGTAAACGCAAAAGTCACGGCGACGCGATAGCGTCCTAACTTATTTCTCACCGATACTTGCTCCGTTCATAAACTTTAACTTCTCAAAACTTACTACATTCGCGAGGCTATTCATCGTCCGTCGGAGACAACTCCGCGAACTTGTGGAGGTTTAGTATTATTTATCGTCGCGATCCCCAAACAGACGTCTCGATTTTGTTCATGGTCGATAACGGATGAGAACTCGTTCTTTCTCTTCGGTCTTGCCGCTCCAAGCGTTCGAGTTGCAACGGTAAATACGTCGCGCGGGGTTTACAAGTCGTATCAGAAGCGGCATATACTCGGTCAGAAATCCCCGTGCAAATTCGGAGTTAACTTTTTATCGGTCAAGGTTTAACACGGGAGAGACTCGATTAAACTCCCGTAAAATTGGATATTAAGCTTCAAGAGCTGGATCGTGCGCGATCTCAAACATTAAAAGTAGGTCATACATTCGAGGTAAATTAAAATTAATCGGTTCGCAATCCCATTTGTTTTATAACGCAATGAACGGACTACTCGTGACACAAATACTCGGACTTGCAACAAATAGAGCTCGCTTGACTCGCTATCACTTGACGAATTTCCAAAGTTGTCGGATGTAAAAAGCAAGGATCATTATTTAAACGAATGAAGAACAACGTTAACGTCGAGAAGTTTGGATATATTATGGGAGTAAGTCTACGATGAGAATAGGAGAGAAGGGAATAAAGGATATTTTTTTGTTTTAGACAAAAATCCACTATTAGATACAATAGTTGCATTAGATACAATAATTAGATACAATAATTGTCTGGTGTTAGCGAATATATTTCTTATAATGTATTCATAATCATTTGGAAAAAAACTATTCAAAGAGCACAAATATTTCATTAACATAGAGGTGCAAGAATAGTTTTTTAACATAGAAGTGCAACATAATGCAACAAGTGGAGTTTTGTAAAATGGGGTCATGGAAAATAGTAATATAAAATAGGCATGAAAATAAAGTTTACTTTTTATAGTTATGAAGTTGTTGATAATAAAGCAACTTTTCAATGAATTCCTCTGAATATAAAAAATTATAAATATTAAAAATCAAAATAAAAAAATTTCCTATGAAAATTTAAAGAATTAAGCTCAATAATTCAAATTATGTAGAAGTCCTTAAAAACAAAAGTCCTATGAACAAAAGTCGCAATAACATCATTTTCGCGCCCATTGCATAAGACGTGGTAATATGGAACACTTAATTCCATATTACCACCCATCGCTTTTTTCTAAACAACTCAACGAATTTCAAAGCAGGAAAAACGTTTTCAAATATCTAACTTTGCGATTTTGAAGTTTAATGTTATTACTAATCGATACACTATAGCTAAGGTGTTAGATTTACCGATTAAGACAAGAAAATAATTTTTTAATCTAACCTCGTGAAAAGTTTTAATTGGAAGAAAACAAGGTGGCTTCTCTTAACACTATAAACAACGTAACCTTGACGCCAGACCCTAGAGAGGCCGATAAAGATCCTAATGGTTATTTTTATGCCTTGTTTCATATATCACCATTTTCCATATTATCATCTCCTTTTCTATATAGGGTGTTTCAAAAGAATGTTAACACTTATATGAAAAATTTGTTTAATTAGGACAAGTTCTATTTCTTTAAAAAAGTTACTTCCATATAAGCGTTAAAATTTTTTAAGCACCTTGCATATTATAATTTCTTTCCAAATAAATTCTTTTCAATTTTACTGTATTTTTAATAGTGAAAGAATAGACTGTTAGTAAAGTTTATCTTGCTAATAAACATAATCAATTTTGCTAGAAGCATAGCAAATTTTTTAATAACACATAAAATCAAAACAGGATAAATTATTGCGGAATCTATTTCTTAATTACAAAATTCTGTAGCAATTTTCATTTCTATAAAATTTTCTGCCTATATATTTTCATTCCAAAAATGCTAAGTAAGGTTACAACGAATTGTTATTTATATAATTATAGAGAACATTTGGGAATTGTCGTAAGATTGCATACGCTACTTCGTAATAGTCAAGAAATATCATTAAATTCAACATATATGTCAGATCAGGGAAAATCTGCACCTCCTATAGATCTTCTGTCCTAGTTGATTGTACAGCTTGTTGATATTACTGGCATATCACTAACGCAAAAATCCGCACGTGAAGGAGCTAATACGTAGCGCAAACCTCGGTTTGTTTGTTATCGCGCTGAGATATTCCGCGAGATACTCTAATACATCGGGATGGCTCGCTCGATATTGCATCGATATCGTACGTGTCGGGTGTACGTATCGGGGACACATTTACCGTTCGCAACCGGATACTTCGGCAAAAAGCACGTCGGAGTTTCGAACGACACGTCTT